CCTGGTGGTATTTGCTCATGAATAGGGCTGAATGGGATTATCAAATCTGCATTTCTAAAACGTGGTTTCCTGAGCTTCTACTTGGGGCTATTAAGAAAAACTGGGCCTGCTTGTCTGCCTTTAAGATCCTTTCAGGAAATATATTCTGCCTTTTTAATATTCCCAAAATATTTCTTTTTCTGGGGGGAGGGCGCTGTCCTCCTATAGTTGGTTACCATACTTGCAAAGCAATAGCATGTTGTGTATACACAGGTTGAATATTAACTTGAGCAATTTTAACAATATCTCAAGAGACCAGAAACTATTGCAGGCAGAAATGCATTTAATTATGTTTTTCAAACATTCATATGTGAATTGAATTGGAAAGTAAAAATAGCAACCTTTGATATATAACTTTAGACTGCAAATAAACAAATTACATTAGAATACCCTTTTCACTAATGATTTGTGGGAAGGGGGGATGGGTAGGTAGATATATTCAGAGATTTTTTTAAAGTCTTCTATATGCAGTTTGACATGGAAAAAAGCAATGGATCAATCATTTGAGCCAGTTAATAGAATCACATATATACTACATGGAATAAAATTATAGCTGAATGCCCTGAAATTAAAAGCTTTAAGTGTAATATTAGATTCATTTTCCAAGTATTTTCATTTTTTTAAAATTTTAGCTTAATTTTTACAGAGATGAACAAATTGTAATTATGATTTTCAAGTATTAACATTACATACATAATATGTATCAATATGCTCTCCAAATATTCAGAATGTTAGCAGAGACATGTAATAGTTCCTTTATTTAATCAAAACACTAATGGAAGATATAAAAAATGTATAAGAGGAACATTTGAGTTCATTATTCATGTAATCGTCTGCTTTCTTCATTGCAGTTACTTTTTAGTAATTTTTTTTTCTTCTAAATCCTCAACAGGCTTCTAATTATTGTTTGGATGTGAGAGTACATTTTAGCCTCTGCAGAATCAGTTTCCCTGTTGCACAAATGTTCTCATTAGGAAGACATTTAACATGGGAAGAATATAAATGAGATTTGTTTTTTATATTTTGATCAAAAGAATAGTGGAGCCAAACTACCACACTATTAGGTCTTCCACAGAAATTAGATGACCAAATGGCTTTTTTTTAACGAGCCCTGTTATAAACACTGACACTTCATGAAACATTCATGTTTGAATGACACACTGCCTTTTAGAAATCAAAAGACAATTTGATGGAAAGATTCATCTGTATATGACACTAAGTCTTTAGATTTTCCCCATGTTTTCTAATGCTACAAACCCAACTCTAATTCAACTGAAGCTCTTATTCTTAATCCAATATCTGTAGGTATCTACTCAAGCATATCAGAACATGGGTAAAAATCAAATATTAACAGTTTTAGATTCTCTGATCAGTTTGGCCTATTATACTTGTTATGATAGCAATGTAATCAACATAGGCTATTATAGTTAAATTGGCCCAGAATCAGATTTATCAAACAGGATTTATATAAGAATAACCCTGGCATGCATGGGGAAACCCAAGGTGCCAATAAAAGCAGAATACACCATAAAGTGTGTTTGCATTAATGTTGTAAGCACGCTCAACGCTGGATTGAACAATTTGTGGAAATGACTAGCAATTAAGAATGCTTCCAGACTAGGTTTTTTCTTTCTTTTAATAAAGCCTATTTGGCTCCTTTACAAAAATGGCAAGTGGAATCCAGTACTGCCAACATGAAAGAAGACAACATTCTTGATTAAGAAAAGAAACCTAGGATCACTGAACAATATATTCTGATTGACAGCATAGGACCCTCCCCGTCTAATAGCACCCCCACCTGCAAAGGAAGCTTCCAAGGGAAAAACTGCTTTTCTGGTTAAATACATGTTAGTACATTCCTAGTATTTCCCTTCAGTGTAAAGAGGTTGCCCACAGGTAGTCCTCAACTTACAATAGGTCATTTAGTGACCGTTCAAAGTTACTGAAAAAAAGTGACTTATGACCATTTTTCACACTTGACGACTGTTGCAGCATCCTCATGGTCACGTAATCAAAATTCAGACGCTTGGCAACTGACTCATATTTATGATGGTTGCAATGTCCCGGGCTTGTGTGATCACCTTTTGTGACCTTTCAATAAGCAAAGTCAATTGGAAAGCCAGATTCACATTTACCCGTGTTTCCCCAAAAATATGATGGGGTCTTATTTTTTGGGAGCCTCCAAAAGAGACACCAGGTCTTATTTTTAGTGAATGTCTTACTCACCTCTGAAACCGACAGCCCCGCCCAGCGGGTCCACTTCTTCTGGGGCCAAAGGAGCAACTTCATTCTGCAGCTGCATTCCGGCCTGCATTTTACAATCAGGCCTTTCCAGAAGGCCTGTGCAACTGAGTACCGAGCTATGGGTTGAATCCATAGCTTGGTCCTTGGCTGCAGAGGCCTTGCAGAACCGAGCTACAGATTGAATCCATAGTTCGGTTCTTAGCTTCACAGGCCTTCTGGAAAGGCCTGTGACTGAGAAATGCAGGCCTAGCTGCAGAAGACACCTCAGAAGAAGTGGGCCGGTGAGGAGAGGCCTGGCTGCAAAGTAAGTGGGTGCGGGTCGCATGGGGCAGATCCACACCCTTACCCCTGCCTAGCTTGATTGTTAAGTTTGTGGCTTCTCCAAAACTAGGGCTTATTTTTGGGTAGGGCTTATATTAGGCCCACCCCCCAAAAAAAAATCAAGCTAGGGCTTATTTTCGGGGTAGGCCTTACTTTTGGGAAAACACGGTAATTACAACTGCAGTGATTCACTTAATAACTGTGGCAAGAAAAGTCGTAAAATGGGGCAAAATTCACTTAACAAATGTCTCACTCAGCAACCTAAATTTTTGGTTTAGTTGTGGTTGCAAATCAAGGACTACCTTTATTCAACTGGCTCATACCATCACATATAGAAAGTTGCAAACAAACATGCCAGGAAGGAGGTGTTTGTTATACGCCCTGTTTTTAGTGGTATGCAAATCAAGTCAAATCTTTATTATGGTCAAAGACCAGCATAATTACTGGCATGCAACAAAAGCAGCATGTCAAGAACCTATCCATCGATCTTCCTGCCTAACAGGCTGTCCAGAGTACAGTTCAAATGGAGAAGATGGCTTTGCTTCTTTTCTTTGTACAAAGCAGTGATAGCAAAGAAGGATTTGGAAGGGGAGAAGTATGTGCACTATAGACAGAAAGCATTATGAAAAGCCTCTCAATGGCACTCAGCTGGCAGACTGATGGAGTGTTACTCGTATACATTGTCATGGATTCTGCTATGTTGTGATTAAGTGGACTAACTCAAATTGTCTGGGGAAAAAAGAGGACAGGGCTGACAGTGAAATGAGATAGTTGGCATTTGTTCTGGTGAGCTGTGTTCTCAAGCCTGTGAAATAAAGCATTTATTATTTGTGTGTTTACATTTTGGCTTTGGTTGTCATTTATGGCATCTAGATAAAACACACAAAACTTTTATTCTAGCAACCAAGCTTATTTGTCCAGGCATTTTATCCTTGGGATCGTGTCAACTGAGCATAGCAAAGATCCTGGTTCTTTCTAATGACATGTCAAGCAGGTTTTTTTTAAAACCTATTTAAAACCTTGGCTTTGGAAATAGGGAACACATCACACTTATAAAATGTATTTTACATTGTACAAAGTAATTAGATGAAAAAGTCACTGTTTTCAAAATGTATAAGCTTATCCTTTCTTACAAACGCTGTTTCTTATTGGTTCCTGCGTATCTCACAAGACTGGACAAGATTGCAGCTGAAAGAAATGCAGGGAAGTACATCTTCGTAAACATGCTAAAGAATTATCTATCATTATTTTTATTTTTCCCCCTATTAACTATATACTCAGGTGAAGCTTACCTTCCTAAACTTCTCTGATAATGCTAACATCCTATCTGTATCGGTGCCTGTATACACAACACTCATTTTTCCTTTTAGTGGTCAATCTGCATGATGGATTAGGCATCTCTCTCTGGACTTACTCTCCCAGAAGTTTATGTGAAGCCATAAAGGCAGCATTCTCTTCAGAACATTCATTCAATGGTATATCTGTATTCAGTTTCTGGATTACTGATTTCCTGGAGATGTAAATGCCTACATCTACGACTGCACAGATTCCATATAAACTTTAGCAGCAGTAGCAGCCCTAAGTTCAATTAATTTAAGTATGAAATGTTTCTCTATGAATGAATTTGGAAGAAGCAACAATCAGCATCCAGCAACCTGAATTTAAAGACAGAATAAGAGCAAGAATATTAAAAGAATCATTAAGGCATTTGAAGAGATCAACTTCCTTCTTTCATCCTTTGCCTGCAAGAGGTAGAATACACAGACTAGCCTACCACACACTTTTTATGTATCTACTGGAAGCACAAACCCGCATTCAGAAAATGCACTTTGTATAAACATTAATACGATGTGCCTTACCCACCCTGGCCCACACTTTTAGCCCTTTTCAAATTTCAGAAATGATATTTACAAAAGCTATTGAATTTTTCCCCGTTTTTTTAAAATTACTATACTTGTAACAAGTGATTAAATAAATGACTTGCTGCAATTTTACAATAAATATTAAAACATTTTAAACCATCTTGTTTTGCATGTAAACAATAGCAAAAATTGTATGTCAGAATCTGTACATAAGATTTAAAATCCTGATGTGTTAAAAAAGTAAGCAGTCCAAAACCAAAATATCACAATAAATAGATAAAAGACAGGATAATACAAAATAATCTCTTAAGTGGTACCGTTTAAACCCACTTAACAGAACCTTGTTATAAAGTTTACAGCCATAGAAATAATCCACTGTATTATCTATTATAGCATAAACACGGGCTAAGACAGAGGATATGATCTGGTCAATATGATAAATATTGAGTAAGAAAAAGGGGAAAAAAGGTAATGAGATGATATCATTTATATGTGAGACAGTGCATGCAATTCCACTCCAAACAATACCTGTTCTTAAATCAGTTTTTGGTTTATACTAAATGATACACTCTAAGCAATGAAAGTCTGCATCTAAATTTTGTCCACTGACATCCCCATGCCACAGTAATAAAATGCACAGGATGAGATTAATCGTATCACAAATCATGATTTCTCTCAGTCAATTCTACAGCATTATACTGTATTTTCAGGTATTGATAAATATTGGTAGCATTAAAGTCCATTATGTATTGTATCTATTTACAGTACATAATTTCCTCACCCCTCACCAAATAGGATGGATCTTAGAAAAGAATCCTTATATTATGCAATCCATTTTCCCTATCACTTTCAACTATTTGGACACAGGTATGTCTCTTCCCCTAAAAAAGAAAAAAAGAAGCAGTACAAACCAGGTAAGTGATCTTCGCTAAAAATTAATCTGTATAATTTGCAGTTAAAAATTAAGACACTAAAGAAGTAAGATCAGTGACATTTTCAGAGATGCTGTCAACTAAGCTGTCCTTGTTCAAGCAGTTCCTTGTATATTTTCATCCGAATTGATGGTGTGGATAAAAGTTCTCTTATCTGGTTCACTTTGGTCAACAGGGGCAACAATTCTCTATGCAAAGCTTCCTTTACTAGATCTGTTTCAGGGCTCTTTCCTAAAGGAAAAAATAACAACACATTTGTATACAATTAATATGATTAAAATATTATGGAACAAATTACCAAAAATATGCCATTGTGTGGAACATACATAATTTTGCTTCAATGCATTTTTTTTTACTGTGAAGAGTAATGTTAATCAGAGAAAAATACTATTTTTGTGTGAAAATTGTACTTTAAAATGAAGCATGATATGAGATTTAATATCCAGTTACATTCTGTTGGGCAATAGTAATTGTGGTTCATATTAAGATTTCAGTACTGATTGCTCTTCGATACAACAGATTGCCTTCTTCTCCAACAAAACACTTTATTTAGTTGTGCTGAACAAAATTCAAGGTACTGTTTCTTTGGCCATTCCTTTTGCTTGCAGGCGGTACACAAAGAAAGCAACGGAGAAATAACTCTGTAGTCAAGAACACAAGAAAGATGACACTTTTTTTGGGGGGGGGAGAGTCACATCTCTCTGTCCGTCTTGTCCTTTCCTCTCTTTGTCTTATCTTCTTTCCCAGAGTTCAGTAGTTCTTTTTATAATTATTTTCAGTAGCATTGGCATTTGTCTCTTGTAAAGCTCTGTGTTCTCAGTTCAGAAAGGATATCTGATAGCAAACCATAACCATCATTCCAGTGAGGACAATTCTGAAGAGTAGGGAGCAGAGACATGGATGTTGGTGGTACAGCCCTCCCTCTTTGGCCTCCAAAACAGTCATTTTCTAATGTCACTCTCGCTTTCTTTGCTATTTCCAATGGCCACCTCCTCAGTTTTCACTGGGGTCCCACAATCATTTTGTATGTTTTTGTTTTGAGTTTCTTCTAGATACTGCTGTACCGCCTTGAGGACTGCAGTCTCCACCAGCTTTTTGCTGAGGCTCAGCAATTCTGCATCATCTGGCTCTGCCCCCTTTTTGTCACCTGTACACCACAACAGACAAAAATCAGTAAACCTAAGCAGGGAAAGCTGCATGCAAATACACACTTCTGGGAAAAAGCTCCTCAGACACACGGGATATACATTCATCAGGGTGTTCTTGCTTTCTTTGGTTCCAAAGCCAAATCTCAGTGATCATATAAGGCAGAAATTAGAGCAAGGCAAGTATTTTCCTTGGAATCACTGCCATTCTGCAAATATTGTGAGATGTCAGTTTTCCTTCTGGTGAGCAATCTTTCCTCACCCACCTACTGCCCCTGGGTTCAAGCTACCCTTTGCTCTCTACCCACAGATATTCAAGTTCCTGAAGCCCAACTCTTCCTTTTCTTCTCCCTTCTCCCTTTGTCCAACCAACATGCAATCATGGTTTTAGTACTGGGAAAAACATCTGAAAAAGTAATGACTTGCTATTCTGTCACCTTCATAACACAGAGAGCTTTTAAATGCAAATAACATGCTAGATATCATCATCATCAACAACATGCTAGAAAGCCACTGAAAGATTTCAGTGCCTGTTTTGAATATAGCTTCCCATCGTTGCTATCACTCAAATTCTTTTGCAAAGTGCACATGAATCTATTTAAAGGGATGTATGGAAAACATGGTGCTGGCAATTTATTTTGTGGAGTAGCGGGGAGGGGGGGTATTTGTTAAATGGTGGTAGCTCTGGGGACAGAACACGGCCTGAGTGACATACTGTTATTGGTTAGCTGAAAGAGAAGTGCTAAGTCCTGATTAACTCATACTATTCTTGGTTTTCCAAGGTTAGTAAAAATATATAGTACATCAGTCTGAAACTGCTTTGCGAGGAACTAGGAAATGGAAATGCTGCCAGTGTGGAAGGGCTTTTTTTTTTTTTAATGAAAATGTAATATGCCCTAGCTGCTTAATCATACACTTTTCTACCAAAGCGTAATTTATAAATTTACAACTCTATTGAATGCAGTCAATTTATATTTTGCTATGAAACTAGCACTATTGTTAAGCTTTCCTTTTTTTTAAAGTAAAACTCCTTTTTTGCTCCTAAGCAACTCACTAATAATGGACTGAAAATGTCACTTGCATCTAGAATTAGTGAGCAGGGACAGGAACATTGGTTCTTTTATTTTATTTGTTTGGTTTCTATAGTTGCCCATCTCAATAATGACATCTATGCCCCCCCCCTTCTCTGTTCACCTAGCATTAATTTAGTTCAGGAGTTTTAAGAAGTAAAACTTCTTCTCCAGACTCACTGGAGAAGGGCCTAATGCTGGGAAAGATTGAGGGCAATAGAAGAAGGGGATGACAGAGAATGAGGTGGCTGGATGGAGTCACTGAAGCAGTAGGCGTGAGCTTAAATGGACTCCAGAAGATGGTAGAGGACAGGAAGGCCTGGAGGAACGTTGTCCATGGGGTCGCGATGGGTCGGACACGACTTCGCAACTAACAACAACAAGAAGAAGTAAATGGATGCCTTAACCACTCTGCCCCGTTAAAAACCCATATGCACATTCAAGGAGGAAAATAAGGCTCCATGTTTTTGTTCCATTGTTCTGGCAAGCTTTAGGAATAACTAAAGAATACTGGCAGGTCAAACACAGTGAGCCATGGTTTTCCTATCCCTACTTTAGCCATAGTTTTTGGCTTGGACCATAGTTTTCATATCCCTACTTTAGATTATCCTTGAGCCATAGTTTTCATACCCTTATTTTAGGTTATTCGAATTTAGAACCTTTTAAATCCTTCATGAAAATGAGTAAACTCTGAAATATTCATCTGCTTTCAATCGTTTAAAAATAGAGAAATAGGGCACATTCTATTCTTCTTGCACTGCATTAGAAAGATCTTTTAATCAAATGATATGAGAAACAGTGGAAAGCCTTGGAACTTATAATAATAGCTAGGAAACGTTCACTGAGTTGTTTTTATGGCATTGCTTGTATGCATGGCCTTGAATGCTGTATAAATCATAAACAGACCAAACAATGCAAAGACTTCAGTCGAAGCAAGTTATTTTCCACCTTAAAGGAACTCTGTTCCTCTTCTGTTTTATCAAGTCATATTTAGCACTTCCAACAAAGCTACAAGCTTTTATCTATTGTCATCCTCTGGAATGCTATGTCACCTTTAACTGTAAAAAAAATCCTTTCTAGCATTCATGGACACACTTATATAAAACACATGCCAAGTGGCTTCTTCCCCTCCTGGAGTCTGTGTAACAAATGTTCCATCTAATTGGGCAGTTTGTTTTCTAAGGTGACCAAACAGATGCTTACGGGAATCCCATAATCATGGCCTAATAAAGAAAGCTACATCACTTTTTTCTTTTTCCTCACCCTAGATTCTGAAATAAAGCATAGAGTTATTGTTATTCTGTCAGCTCTCACATATATTAAGATATATTATCCGTGATTTGTTTGATCCTTTCTTTAAGCAATCAGGAACCATTGCAACATATTTTGACAAAACATACAGTATATTCACCACTGTTGCGTTCCATATATAATCACACAATATATTTTATTTCCACACTCTTCAATCCAATGGGATTTAAATTATTCATGGTAACTTAAATTGTACTAACTTCAGTGGGTCCTACTCTGATTAAGTTTTGATAATTGTTCATTGTTCTGCCTCTTGTCCTTTGGGATAAAAATCATGATCTTTTATGGGGCATCAATTCAGATACATAGAGTATTAATATTCCCCTAAACATTGTGAAAGCTTTTTTAGTCTGTCATAGGACTTAGATCCTAATTATTCTTTTCTGAATCTATACCAATATGTCTAATCTTCTCAAAGTATCTGAGTTAGGTTTCTTCTCTATTTTCCAATATTTATATGCAGAGGATTAAGTAACTTCCATAGGATAACGCTTCATTCTGCAACTGAAGAAAGGAAAGAAGGTAGATAAGCTTTCAAGAGTGATAAACTTTATTAATTTATCTGCTCTTCTGATTAAAGTCAAGAAATAAAGAAAGTGCTAGTGCCTGTGGGCCGCTCGGGGGCGGGGCGGCGCTACCACCGGCGGGATGCTCGGGGCGGCACTAGTGCTAGTGGGACGCTCAGTGCACAATTCAGAACACGTGGAATAGCTTCCAAAATATCCCACTTAAAAGAGGAATCAAGATAACAATGTGTCGTGCAAATACTACACAGTAATTACATATTTAATTTAAATATCATGTATTTTTCATGCTACTACACTTTAAGTAGCATGTGGAGTCCGTCAGTATTGGGTCCCTGGTTATCAGAGCCCAGATGAAATAGGTGGGATGTGTCATCAGAATGGATGACCAATGATGAACCAGTTGCTCTACGGTGAACCAGAGTCTGGGAAGAGACCTTGAGGTTGGCTATGCAACTGCTACAAAGATGCTGTGAAAGAAACCCTACATCACTGTGGTATCCAACCAAGGGGACTAGAAGCTGCAAATTCTGCTGGAACCTGTTGGTCAGCCCTATGCTATGAAGTCTCCAAGACAGGCATTACCAAAAACGTATAGAAAACCATGAGCAGCATCACAAAATAATACCCACAGTTACTATAACAATGGCCTTCTAATGCCACAATTGTGCTAGACTCTGTGCTTCCAGATTGGGATTGTAGAGCCCCCTCCATGTCTACCAATGAAATGCCCAGTATGTCTTCCTCAAACCTGAAGGCCATCAGAACTATAAATGTATCTTTCATGCTACTGTACTTTATCTTTAAGTAGCATATATTATAATATTAAATGGTTCTGTTGTCTTTTCCCCCTCATCTTCCTTTAACTTGTATTATATAAATTCTAGGCTTTATTTTAAAGCACATGTAATAAGCTTAGGATACTAATTTCTTTTGTGATGTAAGAAAACTAGTATCATAATAAGCTCCAGATTCCAGCTGATTTAAAGAAGACAGGATCACCCAGTTCCAAATTGTGCTATGCTATTTCTGCCACTGAAAATCAACTTCCATTAGAAGTGGCAAATTGCATAGTTGCTATAATGTGGTATTCATGTTCAAATCAGCCAGGATTGTAAAGATGCAGAACTCTTCTTTCACATGCATCTTCTCTCGCACACATGCCTGGTGATAGGCCTGAACTGAGGATAAACATAATGGAGAATCAGCTCTTATAAAAACTAAAGATAGCCTGACAGCATCGTTCAATGTTCTTGGCAAAATTACAGAAGTTCTTTATTGTTATTTTCTTCTAGGATGTCTTTTAATTTTTCAAACTAGCCTTTAGCCCTGGAATTCCCATCCAAGTACTACCGGTAGTCAGAGCCAGTCCTGTTTAATCATCCAGAATCCACAAGCATTCCTTTGTCTCTTTATACTGTATTTCTATTCATATTTCATCATCCTATTAGCCTGTTAATGCTGGGGATATTTGTTCCTGCAATCTTGTCTTAAACTAGACACAATGGAAATATATTTGATTGCCTAACCTCTTGGCTTCTGCCTCTGGGAGGGTATCTGTGAAAATAAACAAAGCAATTTGGCATTTTGACTTAAATAGCTCATCTATGCCATCAATAGTTTCACCTGCACACTCTTTATTTTGCTTCTTCTATGTTATCAACTGCAATTTTCAGTCTTGGGTTCCTGACTGAGATATGTCCACACTAATGTCCCAATACTGTATTGATCTAGTCTACAAACTAATGTTATTGGGATGTGTAATTTCAAACTCTGGATTAAAGGTTATGCAACTAAGCATGCTTTTTCTTTCCTATATTTAAGATTTATTCTTCTGAATTGGGGGGGGGGGGGAAGCATCCATGTTGCCCTGCATTCTTAACCCAAAAAATATCTCAATATAACCAAACTCATTGCCCTATTAGGTAAAAATTCAAAAATGATGTATATTATAAATAGATCTGCAAGCATATTTTGAAGAATAAATATTGTATTATAATTATGCCATATGGTCTACATGATAGCTTCCCTTTCCTATGTGGCACATCAAACTTTATAAGAAACTTCATATTATATTATGATGTCAGAAACATGTAGTCACACTGATTCAGTTAAACTCAGAATTCATGGAAACCACTAACATTTCTCTTAAAATATTTCTGCCCCACCCCCTCCCAAAAAAACCCAACCAAGACATTTGGAGAAACAGTATACCAAAAAAATGTTTAGCAGTCAAAGAGATTAACAAAGTGCAGGTACTTTGAAAATTGGCATGTCAATAATTGTAGATTTTAAAAAATAATAATTTCCATAAAATAAGGAAGAAAGACTAATATTTGAAAATGGACCATAATGAAATGGACCAGATATCTGCATTTACCTAGTTATCATCTACATTTCTATATATCTTTCTCTGGCCAAACTTCACCAGAATCCTGATTTATTAGCCTTTTATTTCATTTGTTCCATGACTTTCTAGCATAATAACAATATTTCTTTGGGACACAATGTTTCATCCTACCTCTCTTACTTGATGTCAAGATTTTGCCAGTTATAATTAAAAGTTACTTAGAATCAGGAATTAAGTACTGAAGTGATTAAATTATAGGTCACAGCTAAAGTACATTAGTAATATTACTGGTCAGCTAATATGATATTCTTATAACAGTTTATTTGGAAATTCCACTGAATGGAAAGAGTATGTGTATATAGTAGCTACAGAGTTTATCATTAAGATTAACTATAGAAAAAACAGAAATGGAATGTAAAATAAAGCAAAAATGCAACACTAAAAGCGGTTTCCCTAAATATTCCCTATTAAAATTAAAATAAAGATATGACAGCTATCTCAATTAGTTTTCTGACAGGAAGTCTGACAACACACAATGTTTGAATGTTGCTATACAAACTATTCTAAAACATGCAATTAAAATGAACATTCCATTGAAACGATTATTGTAAAATAAGTTAATAAAATTTATCTGTTGCAGTGCCTTTTCTGTAATCTGAATAAAACTAAAATCATGCCTTGCACCTGTTCAGAGAAGACTCTCTTTGAAGGGGTGCAATGCATCACAACAAAAATACTAGAGAATCTTTTCCCTATTTTTAAGTACAACAGTAACAAATCATCTATCTTTTTGGTCCTCCATGTCTGTTACATTTTGCTAGTAAGCACTGCCTTCAATTGAAATCAGATTTAGCATGTCAACACTGCCCTATCGGATAGGGTACATCTGATAAGTTAAACAAATACACACCCTAATGTTAAGTCATATTTCATTATATGTACTAACAGAATAACCATCCATAATTCAGAGTTACAGATATAAAATTTGTTTCCCTACCTAAGAAATGTAATACAGTTATGTATATAAACATACAGATACATATTCAGTTTCTACTTAACTGCATTCCTTTGAACCACAATCTATAATTTAAAGTGTAGGTGAAAACGACTCACGCCCCCAATGCATATAGGAGGATCTTTTTTTTTTCTTAGCAGTAAACTACATTCTGAAATAGCTGCACCCAGTGCTGGCATTGCACAAAACAATCAGACTTACTGATTTTTTTCTCCTCTCTCCCAAAAGGATAACAGCACAGCTGGCCCATGATATTTACTGTTTTCTTTTCTTCCTTGTCTTCTCAGTGTGCACCACCCCAAACTGTAAACTGGATGTTGCTCTCGACTCTGAAGGCGAACTGTTCATTCTACTCAGAGGAACACAGAAAGGCACACATACACATACACACACACACTGAGGGGAGGGAAAGAGAAAGCAGCGAGTTCTCTGCTGTAAAGAATGAGAAAGGCTCCACCTCTTTGTCTTCGGCACTGATAGGTGTAGAGAAGGGAAAGTATTCCTACCATCTGGAGGGGTTTACAGTGACACTATTTTACGCATACACACACACACACACGGATGCTTCACACATTTCACCATTTCTTTGCACAGGGATTTAGAATGTCAAAATAAAGTACTTTGTCACCATCAAGGATTGGCTATATATTAATAGCTAGTTTGCAAATATTTTTTTAAATCTTAAGAGTTGGGACAATGTTACAGGCAGAGTTTCCTTCTCAGATTTTTTTTTTCTCTTGTCCTCCCTATGCCTCAAAAGCTGTACTACTTGCAGAAATATAAGCGATGCAATATTTTCCATCACTTTATCTCAATTTTAAAACAACCCCTGTAATTTTATAATCCTACATCACTTAAAACTTATGAAGATGCAGGAATGCAACCAAAGACGGGTGACATCTTTATTTAAATATATACTTTTTCCCCAAATTATTAAGGTCGGGGACAATACAGTGGCACCTCAGTACTTGTTCTTAATTGGTTCTGGGAGGTGGGATGAGTATAAAAAAGGATGAGTAACAAACAAATCACGTGACCCTTTGTTTCGACCGGGAAGGACCTCCTATCTATCCCTTTTCCTATGTCAGTACCTTCCCAGCTTGGCCAACTTCCTGTCCGCCCCCTCTGCGGCTGTCCCCCACTTCCGTTTGTAGCCATCTTCCCAGTATGGCCATCTTCCTGTCCGACCCTTCCTTTTGCAGCATGTCAAATACCAAACAAACAATGAGTACTGGGACAACATTTTCACATCCAAATGCATTAAGTACCAAATTCAACGAGTTTTGAAGCAATTGAGTACCAAAGTACCACTGTATTAAATCTTCCTCTAGACTTCAACTAATACTGCATTCTTGATAATGCTTGGTTCTGCTTAGGTGATTAATTATAGAGAAAAAAACATTAAAAGTGAGAAAATGCCTAACAGGAGATGGGACATGCCCTGAAGTAGTGCTCTATAGACAGAAACAGCCACCAACACTGAAATAATGAGGGCAAAAGTTGAAAAGCCACTTTTGTCTGATCTTGTCCTAGCAGAACTTCAGTCATTCTGAAAATTGTTTTGATGATTTTATTTGGGGGAGGGGCTGGCTGGTCTCAACATATGGGACTCTAGAGTATGTAACACAACCATTGCTTAGCTTTCACCACATGCCGTGCTTACTGAGTCTAATTTAACTTTGCAGCCCCTAATTCCAGCAAAAGCAATAACTATCACTATCAGAAAAATAATATTTCACTACAATCTTAGAAAGAGCCGGCATATTCATACTCCACTCAGTATCAAGGATGCAACAATATTAAGTATCTGGGGGTGCAGATAACTAACAATCTGAATTGGTCTCTCCACACGTCATCCTTAGTGAAGCGTGCAAACCAGCATCTGCATTTCCTGCATCGGATGAGGGGAGCACATCTCTCTCCTTCTGTCCTGGCCACTTTTTACAGAGGCACGATTGAAAGCATTTTAACAAACTGCATCACTATCTGGTTTGGTGGCAGCAGTGCCTCAGATAGAAAGTCCATACAGAGAACGATAAGGACAGCCAAGAAGATCATAGGAAACTCACTCCCTGGTATTCAGGCTGCTTCTTCTAAGCGCTATGTGCTTAGAACTCAAAGCATTGTTAGAGACCCCACACACCCACTGTAAGGTCTGTTTTTGTTGCTCCCCTCTGGGAGGAGGTTTTGAAGTATTTCTAACAGGACTATCCATTCTGTAATAGCTATGCCATCTGTCTGGTAAACTCGCAAGATTAGTTTCTCTCGCCATGCACATGTATACATAACCCGAACTAAACTGTTGTTTCTCTGTGTCATATAAAATATGTGGGTATATGCATAATTCTGTATTTATTTATTTATTTATTTATTTTTGTCATATTTATGTAGTGTATATTGGAGGTGGTGACCCTTTGAGAGCTGTATGCAACGAAATTTCATTTTAATGTATGCCAATTAGTATACATTCACAAGTTAGTATTCTATTCTAAAAAAACCCTCTAGCATTCTCCTTATGAATTACATTAAACAATTGTAAGGTAATTGCTAAAGTCATAATCCAATGGGCATAATGTGATGGTACAACTGATACTTGGTTCTCTTAATCTTTAACAGTGAAGGAAATTCGAAGAAATAAAATCACTGCTTACAGGATAATAGGTATGTAATAAACCTCTAACCTATTCTTTCTGTGTCTTTACCAACCACTATCCACTTGCTAGAAGAATTTCTTCTTTGCAGTATCATCCACAAACAAAAACAGAGGAGTATTATTTTTAAATATTGAATCACAACTGTTCTATAAAACAATGTGAACAGAACACCCTGTCCTGAGAACACTGAGAATTGTTCCAAGATCATTTGGTATCTTATCAGGGACAGAAGTCAGAAGGTTCTTTCATAAAAATACTAGTGTGATACTTTTCAGGCAAATATTATATGGTACTTATAAATTATTCTGATATTGCAATATGGACTATAAAACTCTATCATGCATATGAACAGCTTCATCTACATTTTGTAATAAAGCCTGCTTAAGCAAAAACTGTCAGCCTGTCAAATCACATGTGGAAAAAAAAAGCACATGACCCATATTCTAAAGAACAAATGAATTAAACATGACTACTTAACACACATCTACAGGGCATAAGTAAAAGCCTGTCATTAAAGCAAAAGAAAATACGTCTGGTGGGAACTACTTACATTTTACTCTTTTTCAGGGGACTAAGGCCCTATTTCTAGAAGTGTATTTTTTTGTTTCATTTCACAACTGTGTAGTGAAGATAAGTATTAACAAATAGCTGATTTCTAAGAATATCAAATGAGATATGTCCAAATAATTTCAGCATGAAGAAAAATATGTGTTTAAAATTCTCACACTGAATTTAATAAAACTTTACTATGAACTTTGTCAGTGCTGCAAAATGATGGAATATACAATCAGGTTTCGATAAATCTGCTCATTTTAATTTCACTGTTTTAGTACAACATTGTATTCTATAGTTAACCTTCATTCTATATCTATATTTATTTACAATTTTACAAAATCTGCATAAAAATTCATAAGCATACTTTTTCTCAAATGCATACTTCCTGAATAAAATGATAGTTTGTCCATCATCTTTCAAAGTATACCGTTTTGTATATTTTATTTGCTAAAGTACACAAATTTATACTCAGTTTTGATTAAAGAACAGCATCACAGAACTCAGAAAGATCAAAAACATATAACTGCATTTCTGCATACAAATTTATTGAAGAAATACTATTTAGAAATGTTATGCTTTATTTTATTTTTTAATTATTATTTAATTATTGATTTTTTTACAAAAACAATCCCAGTGCTTAGCAAACAGTGTGTTGTCTGGGTTCATATATTTAAAAACAATCAATAATAATTAATTTCTATAATTAATCAATATGTTAGTCAACTTCTTCCAGTAATATTCTCATTTTGTCTGCATTAAACAAATATAATTCTTAATATTTTCGATACATACAAGTTTGACTATAAACATTTTTCTAGTAATTGTACAACTAACAATAACATCAACATATAACATCTTTTTTAATCAGCTTATATTTCAATTGTATTTATGAAAATCATCTTATTAAATCATTATGTGTTCTGTTTTCAAGATTCTTATTTAAGCTTAATTTCCCCACTGTATTCAAGCCACTCTTATCAGTCATAATTTTCTCAAAATTAATTACTTTTAAATGTCCAAACTTTTCATTCACATACACAATCCCAATATTTTTACATTTCATGTATTATAAAAAGTATTACCGGTATACTACTTATATTTCTTATCCCTCTTACTATAGGGCCTCTTTATATCTAAGCTTTATCTATTCTTTTAACCATATTCAAACAAGTGTTTAATCATATAGTACTTCATCTGATAAGTTGGATCAAGTCGCTTAAATCTGACTCTAGCCTTCTTCTTTTGCCAGGTTGCTTTCCAATTCAGTATGTTCAGCTTGCCAGGGGATTTTTTCTGTATTTTTGTAGATGTTGTTCGGGATAAAAAAGACAAATTAACTAGGATGTTCATTTTTGTCTCCCAAACTTTAATGATTTTCCTGAAAGCTCTTTAATCCATTTTGTTAGATCTTCTTTCTTGTCCTCAAGTTTGTTTTGAAGTCCTGGAAGATAAACATCTTTTTTATTTCCTTTGTTGTAGTAAAATCTTGCAGTTTTTCTTTTGTTTGAATTAAGTTGTAGTTCTCTTCATTTGTAGCTTCCATATTTAAATCACTTTCCTCTAGTTTGTGTTCTATTATCTGATTTGTTTGTTCATTCTTTATCGCTATTTTCTGAGGTTTTTTAATTGCAAGTTTAAGTTAGAGATATGTTTATTTATGTCATCAAAGTTGTTTTTAATCTCCTCATGATTTGAAACAATTATCATTTGAATCTGTCGCAGCATTGCATACATTTTCTCCTGAAATGTGTTTGCTTTGTCTTGAGTCATTGCTCCTGCAGATCTCTGATGTTCCAAGCTGAGGTCTTCAGGAGGGAATATTAGGTGTGGTTTCCTGTCACTTTTAGATAGATGTACAACATCCATTTTGTCTCCCCCCTCCAGATAGTTTTTCACCGGTACCATAATCTCTTTGATTAGCTTTGTCAAACCAGCCACTTAAAATCCAAACAACCAAATCTTATGTAGTTCTTATCTTTATATATGGTTTTTTTTAGTCCAATACATTTCCAATTATCAAAGCACCGCTGAAAGCAGTATTTTGTAACAATTCTTCTATTCAGGGGTCTTACAATTATCAGCCAGCTAAGATTTCAGTCCATAATGTTTAACCACCTAAAAGCTTTCCAGTAACTTCTCCCCTCTAGAATATTAGCCAAAAGTCAAGGTTTTTC